TGTCCGCAGTAAATCCGCTCAACTCTGGGTCGCTCTCCTGCTCTGCAAAAGCTGACTTTGAAAGAGCAAAGCAATGTTTACTATCCTCTTCTATACCGTAGTTATATGGCAGTACACTGTTATAAGACCAGATGAAGGGAGGAAAGTCACCGTTATGACGAATAATCAACGCAAAGCTTACATAGAATGCAGCTTTATCGTCTTGTCATCAGAACCTGTTAGAATCTCGTCATCATTGGGAAGAAAAGCCAGAGCTCGGATCCGCTTCGAGTGCGCTTAATTCCATATTGAACACAGAAACAACTTTTATGCCAATAAGGAGGTGTAAGTGAGGCAAAAGGCTAAAGCTTCACGTTGAAAAGTGGATGAGTGGAATGAATGACAAATAATTACACTGATAGAAATTCCATAAAGTCGCAATAACTGCCTCCAAAACAAGAAAAATCTTAAACATACCTTCAATAGTTGTTTCAGACTTCAGCGTCGATGTATCAAAAATATGTAAGATACCCTCAAAAGAAGAAATAGCGAGGCGGCTGCTGTTATTGCTCTAAAATCATTATTTAAATATCCACATGTACCTAATTGTTATACACAACACCAACATAGGCTATCGCACCAACAGTCTTCGCAGATGGAAACGGTTCCTGCCTAGAAACCTTTCCGCTGAGATCAATCTCTTTCAGAAAACCCGAAAAACCCACTGAAATAAGTGGTTAACACCGAAGCCAATGAAGACAAGCTGCACTTGCATGTAATGTAATTCGTCTTGCTCTTCGCGATTTTCACATGCCATGCTTCCATAACTCCAAAATCATGTGGCACAACAGCAGGTCCCTCATCCCCAAGAATAACTTCGTAGAACATAGAATCGACTGTCACCAAGCAGATACCTGTTTCTAAGGACGTCTTTTCAAGCTTTTCATATTAGGAATTGGTATAGGTAGGTGAAACCAACATTTCCCGTCAATAGTGACATCGGCAGATTGTACTGCAGTTCGCCACTCTTGTATCTCAACTTTACTGGTCAGTGTAACTGCACCAGTAGCCGTTTCATCCCTTGAAAAACCATAATAAAGCAGATGACAAGTAAAAATCACGAAAAGTTGAAAATTCTAATTCTAATAAATACATTCTCCAGAGCTTTACGGAGTCATGTCCAACAGAAACAAGACCAACGATTCCATTTCCAGCTCGAAATGACCATATACCGACCAACCCGCGTGAATGAGCTAAATGTAAACTACATATTATGGCAAATAAAAGAGATTACGAGGTTTCAAAAAGAAGGAGCGCACCAATTTGGTATGACAGAAGGTAAACATAACTTTACCATTTTTCTGCTTAGAAATCACTGTATAGTCATCTACTTCCTCTGTATCAGCCATTGCCACCATGTTTGTACCTGAAAACAGTGAAAATCACCCGAAAAGCAACGATGATAATTCAATTTCGCATTACATAACTTCGAAAAACTAGTTAGAGGGAAGGGTAATACTACTGCGCACATTTTAATGAAAAGTAGTTCCGAGAAAAGTCCTGCATTTCAAAATTGATGATTA